GGGAAGTAGTTATTTTACTCTTAGTTATGGAGAAGGCGTTGTCGAGCGCATAGGTCCCAAAGGTGGACCCTCCCAGCTGCATCACAAAGGATTTTGCAGAATATGCCACGGAGAGCATCGCCACTCCGCCCAAGCGCGCCAACCGTACCTCTCGCGAATCCCTACGACAAGATAGGGTCACACGAGGCACAATTTGCCTCCACCTGCGGGAATTATCACCATTCCTTAGGTGGGCGTATCCACGACGAGCTACAAAACCACATGCGAATAATTTTTGTATGCAATCGCAGAGGTAGCCCAATTGAGGGCGTTTCTCGTTCATTGTAGCATAGGGGGTACACGTGGTTAACGCCCGAATCGAACCTGTATGCGAACCGTCACCTGAGGCACTGATCTCTCATACGTGATCCTTACACCAGTCAACTAGGACACTTAGTGTAACCAAGCGAGACACTTTTCATCAATAACTGATATATACGTGCAAATCGCATCTGGTCCATGTTTCCGCTCGACCCATAATTATTATCTTGCTTGAGTGTGCAGACGCTGCACACGAAATTCCGCATAAATGGTTGTCGAGGCACGAACTTTTGTCATATTGATTTAGCCATGCACGAATACATGAGTGGTTGTGATGATGGAGTACTATGTAGTACCCATAATTTTGCGGTCCCCTCTGAAACATAGGCTCCCATTCGATGCTCGGGTGTCAGCTAAAGCGCGAACTAAAGAGTCAATCCTTTAGTAAGCGCAGAAACAGACCCAACGCCCTGTCATCTTTTGTACCCTGTTGTGCCCCGAAGCCGGGTACAGTAAGATGACACAGAGGGTAGAAGAGAAATTTGAGTGGTGGTGAGTTGTCAGGTGCACCACCGACAACACACTCACCCTTTTACGCGAAACTCTATCATTCCACAAAAATAAATTTAAAACAAGAAAATAAGTGAGATGCATAAGTCGGTGAAGTTGCATCGTAAACCGACCTGATATGAAAAAGATAATAAAACAGCGACCTTGTATAGGATAAGGTCAAACGAATCGAGTTTTCAATCGAATGCATTACAATAAATGCCAAAAAAACCAATGCTACATTTAAAATGAAGAGTATGCTTCTTATCGTAGCCTAACTCCTCTTGTAACTTCTCTCTCACCTTTCTCCAATCGATACCACAAATTGCTGAAAATTTTGGCAACATCTCCCCTAGACAAGATGAATTGTCAAATTTTTTGTAACTCTCAAAATTTTAAAAAAATTCGGCAGCTATCCCCGTAGGGAAAATGATTTTCCAAGATTTTTATGAACTCAAAATGACTAACTCCTTTCAAATTTGTGAAAATTTCGGCAACACTTCCCATAGAAAAAAAAAATTGCTAAGATTTATACGAAGTTGAAAATGCAAAAGCAAAGTACAACTATCATTGAGACTAACTTCTAACATTTATTCTCATAGTTATAACTAGAGATAGTCTACACGATCCTTTGATATTGAGGCCAACCACGCTCTACTACACCCTCGTCGTTGGTTGGCCTCGATCCCGAAATTCGTAGCTTGCAAATCAGAAGTCGTAACCTATAGTGTTACTCCCATGGTTGAACTTAATAAGTACAAATCTCTATATAAAGAGTAAGTACATCCTAAGCGGGTCTGTGAAAATGTGTCAAAGCCTCGGCTTGACTTATCGACTAACCCCACGACCTCCGAGCTCCCGCTTCTACCGTGTGGAAGATATGGTTAACGTACTCTCCCTCCTTGCACATCACTTCTTACACAACAAACCATATTGTTGCCAATATACGTCATGCCTTGTTTACCCAATTCGCCTTACGCCACGCGACTGAAACACTGCTTTTTAAATAAGTTAACGAAAACCACCTAGGTTCACGCTTCCAATAGTCAACTTAATGTCGTCCTCTACGCATGCGCACTCAGTGTGCGCGACAATACTAGTAAAAAAAATTAATCTCCTTTCAGCTCGCATCGTCGTGCGAGGTGGTTGATTACACTATCGATTCACTAAATCACCAGACGTCTGGCTAAATCAACAAGTTTCCTCAAAAGTGCACGCTCATACACTCTCTGATCTAACCATACCCACGCTCATTGTTCCGACTTATGAGAATTGTTGTAATAAGATAACTTGTGTCACTGCCTCAAATGTCACGACGGATACGGCTTATGCGAGCTGCAAAAACATGGGCAAACACCATTGTAAGGGTATTCGTGTCGATAGCGTACCACAAAGTAGGTCGGTCCTTTGTTGTTACCACCTTTAAAAAAATGGGGTTTGGGAAGGGTTTTTGAACTCGGGCTAAAACCATGTACTATAAGGCCTCGTCAGTTGGTGATGGTCAATGGGATGCTATTCTCCAATTTCCCCTTGACCAGGTCATTGCCCCATGGCTGTCCCTGGGTCCCCCCATTATTGGTGATTTGTGATACAGTTAGAAGTTTTATTGCTGAATGTAAGGACAAACGAATAGATATCCAGTTGATGAAGCTCAGTGGTTAGAGCACCGGTTGGAAATGTGCATTGTGGTATGAGGTTGTGAGTTCAAAACTCCGCAGCCTCGCGCATGGACACTGACAGGGCGTTACAATGACACACGACTTGACACACATTCCCCTGGGTTGACGCATGGTACTAATACAGACACTGCCTGCGCACCACCCAGGGAATGAAGTCCATTTGTGTTGTATGCTGGTCTGGTCTTCACGTTGGTTGCTGGTTGTTATTGGCTTTGGCCGCTCTGATAATCTCCCCCAGTCCAAACACTACACACATTATATCCACTTCCTACGGTAGTACAAGTGGTAGAGCCCTCCAGTTTCATACTGTAGGTCACATGTTCGAGTCCGATTCCAGACTTTGGGGGGGTCCTGTCCAGATAGACCTGTCTTTACCCCATACACACACACATGAGATACTACCCCAGATAGCACAATCTATACACACATACTATCCATCCATCCATCCATCCATATATATACATATATATATATATATATATCACAGCCCCTCGTTTGTTATCTTCTTCTCTCTCTCTGCCTACGGTTTACCGGGCAGTTCTGTTTGTGACGATATA